AGATAATCATATACAATCCTCAACCAGACAAACAGTCTAACAGATCACATAACATATCAATATCCTAACCAGGATTCCGACCTAACCGGTCACTAGCATAACATTACCCTATATCCCGGGTACCGACCTTAACCAGGTCTTTAACACATACCATCCTAACTACCAGGATGCATACATACCAAAGCAATATCATAACAACAACTACCCGGATTCCCATCCGATAAAGGGCCGACCTTGGTGCCGTAGACCCTGTCGATATAGTGAGGATAACTCACCTTGTGGCTGCCGAAATCCTGCAAATCTCTGACTGCTGACCCTCCGGGAATCCCAACTATCACATGCAAATCATCACATTAGAATCCATCATGACTTTCTAGGCCAAGGGCCCACAACACTCATTAAGTCCATCATCCTCTTATTGGGCCAAGACCCAAAACCAAATCCTCATGCAAAGCCCAATATTGGCCCAATTTACTAAATTGGGCCCACCTCGCCAAATGGGCCTAGATCCAAGGTCCATAATAATTATTGAGTCCAAATTACTCCATCCATAATGTCCAGTCACGGCCCAAGCTCTATTATCCCAATAACAACCCAATCTCTTAAGGCCCAAAATGAAAACTCAACAGAGGGAGTACGCTGGGCGTACCCTTCTTGGTACGTTGGGCGTACAACGATGCTCGCGGATTGGAATCGGGACACAGACCCACTACGCTGGGCGTACTCCCATTTACACGGGGCGTAACCTCGCTGAACTACAACTCCACATAAGATCTTAATGGCTTAAGCTCTTAAGCCCAAACTTCAGATCCATACACCAAATATGCCTAGGATTCATAAAGTCTCAAACTTTATTACTTGGGACGTCCATAAAGCTCTTAACCCAAGGTCTTAATCCATTAAGACCTTCCTACTTCTTATATGGGACAACCAAAGCCATTGGGACCTCATTTTTCTTACTCAAGACCTCTCCAATGGTCTGAAAGGACAACTCATCTTAACCAAAACACATCATACATCAAGATGGGGGTTTTTGGGACAAGAATGGTGTCAAAACTTCACCATACATAGATCTACACAAAATAGATGTCAAGCAAGAAGCTTTATACCTTCAAGTGGTTGCAAAGGGTGATGCTATCTCGGATCTACAAGCTCCAGCCACCAAGTTTCCTTCTTGCCAACCTCTTCTTTCTTCTTCTAAGCTTTCCTTTGCCAAACTAAGCTCCACAAGGTCAAATATCCACAACAATGGAAGAAGAACGGCTACTTAGGGTTTCTGAGAGTAAGAGGGCAGATATGGAGGCTAGGGTTGGAACCATAATGTTCCTTATATAGTGGCTGGACCTACAATTAGGGTTTTAAGACTCTGAGCGTACGCTGGGCGTAACTCTAGTACGCTGGGCGTACGCGTCCTTGCACCCGCGGTCATTCACCCTATTACGCTGGGCGTAACCTAGCCTACGCTGGGCGTACCCACGCGTGTCCCAAAGGCATGCATGGCCTTCCTCGTCAACTCTTCCCATTAAGGGCTATAAATGTCAATATCTTCAAAGTGTCATAACTCCTTTATTCTAAGCCCGTTCCCGACGAACTTTATATCCACGCGAAGGTGGCGAGAAGCCCTACGCTTCTATCAACATACCCCGGTCCGAAAACTTCCCGAATGAAACTCATTGCCCACAAAAGACAGAAACGCCCTTACTCTTGATTTCGGAAATTCATAAATAAGTACTTTTCGAACGGGGCGTTACAACTCTAGGGGCTTTGAGTTGCTACTCTTAGCATTTCCGAGGTTATAAATCCATAAAGTTTCCATCTTTGAGGCTAGAAACCATTCATACATGTTCTAGATGGGTATTATGTGGTTAAGATGGTCATTGAGTCCCTTTGAGTCATGCAAATGCATAAAGGTGCCGAATTTATGCATTAAGAGCTTCATTTGGAGGTTTCCTGGAGTTTAGATGAAGAGTGCTTAACTGGTTAAGTCACAAAAAGGAGTCTGGTGGGTTTGTGGGTACGCCCCGTGTAGATTGATGCACACCCCGCGTACCGAGTCAACGACCCCGTAGACGGTCAATGCGAGGCGAGGGTACACCCCACGTATGCCTCTTATTGGAGTTTTAGATTTTAGGCTTCGAGTTTGGGCTTAGATTCTCAGACCCTAATGGAATATCAGAATGGTTGTGTTTTGGACTAATTGGAGGATTGGACCTTAGGATAAGGCCCAATAAGGAGTTTGGGCCCAATTTGGAAAATTGGGCCATTAGTGGACATTTATGGATCTTATAGTTTTAGGTTTGGGCCTTAGTTACGTATCTTATTGGACCAGGGGTGAAATGGTCATTTTACCCCAAGTATGGATTATGGATCATGGTTTAGAACCCAATTGGTAGTTGGGTGATATCATGGTACTGATAGCCCGTGGAGTTGCCAGGACAGCAGTTAAGAATTTCTTGTAGTGGACTTCAGCAGTGTGAGGTGAGTTACCTTCCTGTAGGAGTGGCTCGAAGGCACCAATGCCGGCCCACTAGTAGTTATTTATGGTAGAGACGATTGTCTTCGTGATAATTGTCTGGTATGCCATTATATGTTATGATTTACGTGCTTATTGTTATGTTATTATGTGGTAGTGGTAGGGGGTGAAATAGTCTCCATAACCGGTTGGAATACACCGGAGGGTAGGTCGGGCACCCAGATATGCCTGACAGTATGTTTATGCTATGTTATTATGTGGTAGTGGTAGGGGTGAAATAGCCCCCGTAACCGGTTGAAATAAACAGGAGGGTAGGTCGAGCACCCAGATATGCCTGATAAGGTAGGCCGGACACCCAGATATGTCTGACAGTATGTGATTATGTGGTATGATGGGGGAACTCACTAAGCTTCATGCTTACAGTTTTCATTTTTGGTTTTAAGTACTTCTTCTTCAAAGGAAAGGAGCCGACATGATCGTAGCGCATCACACTATGATTTTCCGCAAATGAGATCTTTGGGAGTTGTACTCTGATAATATTTTCTATGACATGTTTGGTTAATTGACATACTGGTTTTGATATAGATTGGCTCTAATGATGTTTTAGACTACTGGTTTTTATAATTAATTAATCAAAAATGAAATTTTTAGTCGTGATTTTTTGGATGTTACATTATCAGACACATCCCTTATCAATTAAGATCTCTCTCTCTCTCTCTCTCTCTCTCTCTCTCTCTCTCTCTCTCTCTCTCTTTCTCTCTCTCATCCACACACCGTCGGAAAACCCTAATCCCCCGTTTACTTCCACCGTTGACTGTTATTATTCCCTTTACCCTTTGTTCCAACACCGCCACTAATCCACCATCATCTGCCACCAGAATCGTCCACCAGGTTTAAGAAAAAAGATTCCAGATTTGGTTTAGGATTTTAAGCTATCGAACTAGTTAAATTTGTTGTACCTTTGTAAGGCTCTTCGAGGGTACATGGAAGATTGGCTCATTCGACTTGGTGCCAAATGATTTCCAGTATGATATATGGACCCACGCTCCTACAAGTGTTCTCCGATGAAAACATACTTCCTTAGATTAATAGGTTTAAGCTCTGACGAAAACGATCAAATTTTGTGGAATAATGCAATTGAAGACGATGTGGTGATATGGGAAATCGAAATCGAATATAGAATTATGCAAACCAGTGGAGGTGTGTTGAGAACCCCCATTGAAGAATATGAATACACCACAACCACCGTCGCTACTAGAAAAGGGTTAACCACCGCTGCTGACACCTCCTCCAAATGAATTTCTAGAAACTTGATGCCTCTTATGTCGGACAGATCTGCACTGCCTCCCACTCTCCTAAACCTCGAGGAGTTGTGAAAGTTTCATCGCCACAAAGTAAAAGGGTTTGTCTGATTTGAAAGATTTAACTAATTCAAGAGATTTGTTTCTTGAGCTTTGTAAATTACCCGAAGAACAAACTGGGTGTTTGAAGCATCCATTCGGTGCATAAAAAATGACATGAAAGATTGAATTTGGAGGAGGAGAGAGAAGCGAAAAGACAAGCAAGTCGTAAATTTGAAGACGATTTTCTTTAATGAACTTGACCCATCCATCCATGAAGTGGTATTTGTCTTTGATTTTAACATATTTGATACTCCACTCAACAACAAATTTGTTCTTGAGAACAACTGTTGCTCTCCTGTTGTTGTCTTTTTCTAAATACTTATCGATAAAAGCAGACGACAATTGTTGCAAAATATGATGAATAACTGAAGATCTATGTAATGAGAAGCAAAAAAATGGTTTGTGTGTGTGTGTGAGAAAGAGGTTGTTGGAGTTGACTAAATGAGCGTAATAACTCTTGGCTTATGTGGGAACGATGAGTCGACTCACTACTGAGTCATTGTTGACTCACATGCTTAGTAGACAGTTGACAAAGCAGTGTAACCTTCAAAAATGGGTAAAGATACGAAATTAAGCGGTAAAATACTTGTACCATTCAAAGGCAAAAAAAAAAGTCATGATGAACTGTTTAAACCAATATACGAACCATTGTTAGACTATATTGACAATAACCTTAATAAATATGGTCAAATAAGTAAATTTGAAACTAATTATTGATAACATAATTTAAATGTAACATTAAATCAAATATTATATTAACTTTATTAATATGTCAAGTCCGGATTAAAATTAATTGAATAATATTATTCAAAGTTGTTGTAATTTTATACCGTATATTAATTTAGTATATGATAATTATTATTTTAATAATTAATATGAGTGAAAGGTGTTAGTTTAGGAGTAGATTATAATATTTGTATTTGCCGGTTAAAATAAAAAAAAAACAATATATTTATTAAAATTAAAATTACATGATTTAGCAATATTATCCATCGGTATTTTAATATTATCTTAAATATTTGCTAGTAATTTTGTGGCAAAGAATATTTTATAGTATTTTTTTTATAACTTAAATTGATTGGAGAACGTGGCTTGTACATGTCATCTTCACTTTCGTCTGAGTCCTCTTATCGTCGATAACGTCTCAGCATTTCATTACCCAATCATGGATACGCTAATGGCATCATCCTCTTCTACAGCAGCCATTCTCCACCGTCCGCCGCCCCTTCCCCTCCGGTCCTCCAATTCCTTATTCTACACCGGTTCTTGCTCCACAGGTACGGCGGCGTTCTTCCGAAAGCCCTTATTCGGCAATCATGGTGCTCAGAGAAAACTAATTCACTCGTTCCAAAATTCTTCATCTCAATCTTCGTCGTCGAGTGTGAAAGTGCCGATTAAATGTGGAGTTACCGAGATTAACGAGAGCCAATTCCCGGAGGTAGTATTGAAATCCGACCGTCCTGTTCTTGTTGAGTTTATTGCCGGTTGGTGCGGACCTTGTCGATTAATCGCTCCCGCCATTGAATCCATAGCAAAGGTTCACATCGCTTCTCGTTTTACCTTTTTTGAAATCCTATTGACATGAATTGTATTTTCAAATCGAATCATGAATTACTTGGTTGATTTGGAGCGAAGGAACCCTAATTTAGGGATTTTAGCTCATCTACTGTATTGTATACTACAATCACATTGTTCAATTAGTTTTTCGACCTTTGATGATTAGTTAGGGTTTCAGTTGTTTTTGCTAAAATTCAGGAATACGAAGATAAACTATTGGTTGTAAAGATCGATCACGACTCGAATCCAAAGCTAATCCAAGAGTACAAGGTGTATGGATTGCCTGCTTTGATTTTGTTCAAAGATGGGCAAGAAATTCCACAAAGCAGAAGGGAAGGTGCAATTACAAAAGCAAAGCTGAAGGAGTACATTGATGCACTACTGAAATCGGTATCAGTTGCTTAACTCCATGAATCATCACTTGTTTTTCTCACAATTTATGAGCAGCAGGGGAATTGTATAAAGGTGTAAATTTAAACGTATTACAGATCTTCAATTTCTCTTGCACATTTTCTTAATAATATTTAGGTAAATTAAACAAAATCGCAAATGGATTTTGGTTTTTACTTTCATTAGAGTATTTATGAAAAACAGAACATGTCAATTATATATTCTTTTGTATTATAATTAATTTACTGAACTTAAACCAACCTATCCTTATTGATGCTCTATGAGCCCGTACTTTGTGGATGTTTTGGAATGCCTGTATGAAATAAGTAGATGTGGAAATTTAAACCAATTAGCATTCATGATATGAGCTTATTGGAGAGTTTTGTCAAGTCAAGGCTGTTTGATATTGTGCTATCGTGCTGACTGTGTCCGGTAAGGCTGACTCGGTTTGATACATGCAGAATATGCTTCTGACCTGGTCAACACTTCCCGAGAAAATAGAAGCTGACCAAGTAACTGATGGAATAATGACATTGGTGCCTTAATTTACAAGCTCTAATTAGAGTTTTTTTTCACAAACCCTTTTCGTTGCTCGATTATAATACTACTAAGCTCTAATTAGAGTTTTTTTTTTTTTTTTTTTCATCACCATTATAATACTACTAAGTTCGTTTTACATAGTTATTTAAAAAAAATCTCGACAAGAGTCATAAATAAGCTCTATAAAAAAGCGTTACTATAAAGATATTTGAGTTTTTTTATTTGTTGAGCTGACGCCAAAAAAATTATTAAAAAATGTTTTCACTGCGATTATATTTTATTGATGGCAGGATAACCAAAAAAAAAAAAAGGCTAAAGAGAAAAAAAGTCAAATTAAAGGCATGTTTTAGTTCACGGATTAAAAAGGAGCTTGAAGGAATTAGAATGCATTAAAAATGGTTTGGTTGAGAAAATCAATTAAATTGGAATTATTTAAATTCCATTAAATTTTGTGTTTTGAGTTAAAAGACACATTTTATATTGTCTTCTCATATTTTTTTTAAGTCATAATTCTTTAAATTAAAACATATTATCAATATTATTGATGCAGACTCTGTATACCATCTAATCCATATATTACTGACAACTCATGTAAGCTCATGTAAGCATGCAAGAGAAGAATTATTATTAAAGAAATGGAAGCAAATATTTGGTTTAGAACTTTCACTAAATAAATAAGGATGATTTTTGAGACTTTAAAAAATCTATCATAACCCATAACTTAAGAGGTAATAATTCAAATCTCAAACAATCAAAAATCCTAACAATCCTTGGTACTTACCTGACTTTATCCGGAAAAATGGCTATGTAGGAAATACTAAGTTATTTATAAATTTTAAAATACAAAACCTTGATGCAATAATTTTTAAGTTATTGTTTTCGTTATAGAATATAAGTTGTTTATAAATTTTTGAATACAGAAACTTGATGTGTTCATTTTTAAAGTTTTAAATTTCATTAGAGAAATAGATAATCGTATATAGAAATACAAGTTGTCATATCATATCGATTTTACTAACTTTAAATTATTATGTAATGCTATTATTGTGAAATCCTTGAATTATGTTTTTGGATCCTTTACTCTACCAAGTGTAAACACTGCATACCCTATAAGAAATTTCTAGATCCGAGTCCAAAGGCCAGGAGCGAACCGGATTTTTAAATTCAAGTGCAAGAGTCAGCCAAAAAATATGAGCGCTCTTGCACCATACTTTTTTGCGTCACCCTATCTTGCTGCAGATTTTGGCCACTGTTTAGAATGGTTATGGTATTATGGTTATACTCGTCTGATTACTAGATTTCGTATGCAATTCCATTTGTCTCCATCTATGTACCCGTTCCGTAACCATTTATATTTTTGGAATACTTATTATTTTATTATTAATATATATGATTTTAAAGTTATATTATAATATTATATATGATAGTAAAAATAAGGAGTGAAACGATGCTGGTCGACGACGAGCATCGTAACCATCATCGTCATGAAGGGCTGAAGGACAAAAGTAAAAAAATGAAACTTATGTGAAAGCGGTTGAAATTGTTTAGCAAAGAGATGGTGATCAGAAGTTGGATCGCTGGTCGGTCAGAGACGATGGGGAGGTAGGACGTCGTCGACTTTTATGTTAGGATATGAAATCTCAGTGGCTTGTTTAGGGTTAGAAAAGGTCTTCCAAAACCAAAAAAATATCATTTTATCTTCTACAAAAAAGGTAGAATTTCGTATATACCCTTAATAAATGTCAAAATATCATATTTGTTGAACCTATTTTTTAAATATCATGTTTACCCATCTTAAGTTGTCAAAATATCAAATTTGTCCAAAATCTTTTTCTTTAACATTTTTCAATCATTTCTTGTATTTTAAAATCATTAAAATTGAAAAAGAAATTTGAATGGATTATATTGCCCTTGCTTCTAAATCACAGGAGCTCTTTATGCAATATACGTACAAGATCATCTTCGCCATTCGAACCTGAAATTCAAGTGTTAACCTCTCGTCGTCTTACCTCTTGCCCCACTCCGTCTTCCTTCTTGTAGACGTTTATAAGAATCAATCAATTCTAGGTAATTCGGGTGTTAACATCTTAGAATTTTAGGGATTTCCTTGTGAATTCATATATTGTTGTATGAGCTTTTGATATATTTCAATATGTGAATGCAATCAATCTATATCTGCTCTTTTGATCAATTTTGTTCTTAATATCTAAGATGAGTTGTTGATTGCATCATTTTCATTGGGTTTTAGCTTACATGAGTTGTTGATATCATCATACTATCATAAATACTTTGCAGTGAGTTATTCTTAAACGAAAGACTTGGATGATCAGGTTTTTTTCTCCATAATATTGCATCAAGCAATTAGTATTAATTAAGAATTGATATTCTATCTTGGAGGATCCCAAAAAGGAAAAAGAAAAGAAAAGAGAACCAACCGATTGATCTTCTAAAGTTTTGAAAAGAAAATATGTAACGCCCGCGTTTCTAGGCTAGGCATTAATATTGATGTAATAGTCTAGGTGAACCTTTGTAACTCGTTTTGAAATAATAAGAAGGTATTATTTGAGTATTATGTGTTTTATGCTTAATTGTGTGGCTTAATTGAATTAAGAATAAAAATAAGCGTAAAAATGAAATGTTAGATAAACCCAATATTGATATATGAAGGTGTAGTAGTCGTGACGAGGTTTCCGAATATATAAAGAATGCCGAAATCCGAGTTATAACGAAGAAGTTATGATCTGTCGAAGTTTCACGATAGAACCGGTACGACACTACGTGACGTAAAATAGTGAATTTACGATAGAGCAATATTTAGCCTTAGTGATCTAAACGAAAGTTGTAGAATAAGTTAAACCGAGAGCGTGCATAAGAAGAACGTCTAAATCTGACTTTGTATGAGGAAGTTATGATTTTTCGAAGTTTCGACTTAGCAGTATGCAGCCCAAATCTCGAAATAGAGATCGAGTGATATTTGGCCGAAACAATCTAAATGAGAATCGAAGATCTCGTTGATAGTAGTCCAACAGTACAAAGACAGACGAAAACGGATGTCCGATGAAGAAGATATGAATTTCTAACGGAGTTTTCCTGTCCCGGCCTACTAAAAATAATATTATAAAAATAAAAGTCAAAATTAGCCGACGGAGTCTAAACGAAAGTTGTAGAGCATAATCTCACCTATGCGCGGATATAAAGAACGTCGAAAACGGAGATCGTATGCGAAAGTTATGAATTTCTGAAGTTCGAGGCGCGCATCCCAAAGGGGGAACGCCCCGCGTTCAATTGGGAACACCCCGCGTTTGGAGCCCAGAGCCTGTCTCGTCGCCTGTCAAGTCCGAAGTTCGTAAGCAATGACGCACGGCGGAATGCGCTGCGTTCGGGAACGCGTTGCGTTCGTTCAGGGAACACGCTGCGTTCGGAGGGTCAGCCTCCCCCTATAAATAGAATGCAAGGTCTCCGGGATTTGTTGCTCATTTCTTCTCTCTCACTCCTTATTGCCTCGTTTTACGTGCAAAGAAATACCCCCGAAGCCCCGATATTATCCCGAGACCCGAAGCAAGTCCCGAAGCCCCGAGGATCCCGAGAAGTAAAGTTTCCGAGCCGAAGCTCTGCTTGCGAGAAGCCCAGTGTGTGAAGATCTTCTAGTTTCACCGAAGAATACTACTTTTAAAGCCGTAGTGCTGTCCGATCATCTTCTGATCAAGTGAGTGTATTTTCATTTTCTTCTAACACATAGATATGAAGTATTCTTTATAAAATACGTGCTATGTGTTTATATATTATCTGTTTATTTGAACTAGTTGTTGAATGAATGTTTTGTACAGGTTTTAAGCTGTATATAAATGTATATATTTTATCTACTAATATGTTGGGTAGAACATGGGTAGACAGTTGGTGTGTGATGAAATAATATGATGAGAGGCCTCGATGTTGTTGTTGATCTAGTCATCTAGCGGAGTATGGATGACGACCACAGACTCTTTCTAGACAGTCCAGTGGGACGCTAGCAGGCTCATAACATGTAGGTGTTGTGAACGATGTGTTCATCGGTGTACTCCATCCCCCTCATTGTGACAACCGTCAATTTTGGCCAAGTCAAAGTCAACTAAAGTCAACAAGTCAAACCGGTCAACTCATCTAACCCTTGTATATTAGGGTTTCCATTATGTTTCTTATCGAACAACTCGCAATCTTAATACAAAATATCACTTAGAGTTTTCACGTGTTCGGAAATTCAAAACCCTAATCAGGGCAAGTGATGAAACTACTCGATAAAACATTATTCCTTGACCCTCGGGGAATATAACAATCATAACAAGACTTAACGAGGTTTACGAACCTTGAATTACAGAGCCAAACACTCAAAAAGGTCACAAAAGAAGTCTCTCTCAATCTCTTTCACTCTAACTCTCCCAAATCTCTCTCTGTATGAGAAATCTCTCCAAGAATGTGAAATCTCTCCCAAATCTCTCCAAGTATGCCAAATCTCTCCAAGTATGTCAAATCTCTCCCAAATCTCTCTCAAAACCTCTTTTGATTTATTTTAATCATTTGGGGCATCCCGACACTTGACTTGGTGAAAAATCATTCGAAACGGGAAGATACATTGGAAAATAGCCTTTTAGGGCCGAAGTCCCTCTATAGGGGACCAAACCTTCCTTGAGTCGAAGCCCCAAGGACCAAAACCGAAGTCCCCTTAAGGAACCGCAGCCATCGGACCGCAATGACTAAGGACTGGAACTACTGAGGATCGAGGCTGCTGAAGACCGCAGCGCTGAACCGCACCCGCAACTGGAGCACCGCACCTGACCCCGCCTTCGGTCCCTTCTTCGGATGAGTCCGCCTGCGGTACCTGCTCGGACCGAAGTCCCTTCTGTGACATCCCCATTTTCACGGCCAGAAAAGACCGATTTTGTTTATGCTTGTTTGAAAATCAGAGTAACATTTTAAATAAAAGTGTTGCGGAATTTGTTCCCAAAATAAAATATGATAGAGATTTATC